ACATATTTGGGCAGCTTTCCTTCCAAATGCTTGGTGTTGGTCAGAGGAAGTGGGGTGTTGTAGACAGGGGCTTGCTTTGGGGGTTTCTGTCAGAAGCAGACTATCCTCAAAGTCATGTCCCACTTTAATCCTCCCATCCATGACCTTCCAAGCCCCTCCCATCCAAAGCCTTTGTTTTCTTCCCTGGCACCTCATATCCAGGCCCCACTGATACCCGAGACTTTCTGTCAGTCTGGCCTCCTCCTCTTCTTCAGGAATTGGGTTCTAGTTCCAGCAGTGGCTACTGCTCGATCATGGTAACATTGGGAATACAGAGCTGCTTGCCATCCAACTGAGCAGCAATTCTCTAAAACAGAACCTCCTCTGTACATGAGGGGTGGATGTGTCCCCTAAACTAATCCCTGCCACAAATATTAAATAGCTGTGGGGCAGCTGGTATCAGTGGGGATGCATCCCTCACTGAATTTTCAGATTGTGCAGGAAACCCTTCCCCAGTGGTTTACTTACTCTTCTGTAAAACCGTGCTGCTAAAAGGTGATCATCTATAATCATTTTTATTTTATGCACAAATTAGTATACACATAGTTAAAGAATACTTATGAAACATTCACTGCTGTCTCTTGAAAACTACACAAATTTTATGAAGTTAAGAAAATTTGTGGAAGATAACTGAGAATAGAGGCAGATAGAACTCAATTCTTAATTAGTGACTGAACAATTAGCAATGCGTTAATGAGAGCTACATATGTTGTCATTAGGAGCCCATTTAATATATTTATCTGAAATGAATATATTTTAGCACCACAGAGATTAGGTAAAATCAGTTTTCACTTTATCATTAGGTATGAATCAATTTACTCACAGTATGTACATTACTTACAAGTTTCAGTTGTGTCAAGTTAGTGAAACTAGTTTGCACCAAGTGCTAAAGGAGGAAGGAAACTTGTCAGCCTAGAAATTAGTTTATGCATGAATTGAGACGCAATCTGAGAGCAGCACACTTAGACAGATCAACTACAGCTCGCAGAATTGCGATAGGCAATTATATTGCTACTTTGCAATGATTCAAGAATTTTTTGGTGCACATCAAGAGAAAAGGAGCAGTATAACTTGTGTTTCAGGTCCTAATAAGATTGACTGACATGTAGTGAAGTGTGGGACTCTACATCTCCTGTTCCCATTTAGGCTTCACACTGTGTATCAATTCATTCTGGTGTGAATTGGTGGTCTGAATCCATTCAGTCCATAGAACAGTCTACAGGTTGTTTACACCTCGTACCAAATCATGAGTTGTAAGACAAGCTTTCTCTCAGTCAGTGTTCTTGTAGAAAACCCTTTTGTTTTGGTAGAATAGATTCTGGACCATCAAATGAAATATAGAATCCCTACAGGAAACAGGCCCTTCAGCCCAGCAAGTCCATACCGAACCTCAAAGCATTTCACCCACACCATCCCCTTAATCTACACATCCCTGAACACTGTGGCAATTTAGCATGGCCAATCCACCTCGCCTGAATATCTTTGGATTGTGGGAGGACACCAGAGGAAACCCATGCAGATACGGGGAGAACGTGCAAACTCCACACAGACAGTCGTCCAAGGCTGGAATTGAACCCGGGTCCCTGGTGCCGTGAGGCAGCAGTGCTAACCACTGAGCCACCTTGCCACCCAACATAATAAACCAAATATGCGTATAGAAAAATACATGACATATGCTGGCGTGCTTTTTGAAACATGGTTGTGTTTGCTGTCTGCTTCAAACATAATACTTTTGAACTTTAAGAGGATTTCCCCCTTCTGACCCAAGAGTTGTTACCTAGCAGAAACCCTGAATTAGTAACAAGCAGCTACCTCTCAGTTCAGACGAGCAGGCGTATTACTGAAAAAAGAAACTTTAATGGAAAATGGCATTAATATTTAAGCATTTTATAATACATTTCACTAGCTATCAAGATAAAATCACCATTGTCCAATTGGAGCACAGGGCTCCTTCCCTGTTAGAGAGAGAGAGAGAGAGAGAATTGGTGATGATTTAATCTAAGGGTCACCATATGTCAGGTGAAAGGAGAGGTTGGGAAGGCAAGTCCTTCTTGGTAACCTCAGCTGGTGTGGGAATTGAACTTATGCTATTGGTATTACTCTGTATGACATGCTGGCTGTCTGGCTAACTGAGTCATAACATTGCAAATGATCAGATAAAAGTACAATAAAATGTAAAATAATTCTTATATAAAACCCATAATTATGAAGTTACCGTTACTAGAAAATCCTTAAATTTTTATCTAGGTATATAATTCCAACTAAAACTAAGCAGCTTGGTTAGAATAGCCCTTTAATAAGTTGCCTTATCTGATTTGGCCGAATTTTAACAAGGCGCTGAAGTCTGATACAATGTCCTGGCACTTACTACAGTCTAGTAACGGCCACGAAAAGCAGCACTGCCAAGACAGTTTAGAATCCATGGTTTAAAATATTACTCTGAAATCTCAATGCTGTTAGAAACATTGACCTCATTTTAAAGTTGCATCTGCACACAAATACATTTTAATTATTTCCTGCAAGTTTATTAAGTAAAGAGCTGGTGCAAATTAGTAAAATACTATAATTGAAAAAGACCATTTAATATTATAGTTTAGAACTTCAACAACTTATGTGCAATCTTTAATCTAAGAATTGTCCTAAGGTGTTTCATTGGAAGCAAAATCTTACACAGAAATCAAGTTGGGATGTGGTCGAAGCCATGTTTGTAAAACGCAATGTGCTGGAAAGACATTAATAATGCGATTGTTCAAGTTAAAGGCAGCTGGGTTTAGAAAGGAGTTTTGATGCAGGAATGTAATGTCTGATGACTTAACATTGGTTATATAGAGGAAGGTAGGGGATTTTGTAATCTAAATTACACAGAAAAGTATGAAGTGTATTAGAGGATATTGCAGAAACAAGGTTGATTGAAGCTGGAATGCTTGATAGAGAATAATTAATTTGAATTTAAAATGATGGGGAATGGTTGAGATTTGTGAGAATTTTGTTTATGTAAACAATATTGTTTTGTATAAATTTTATTTTTAAACTGGTAATTTACGATTGAGTGCAAGACTCTTGTAACATTAATGTTAATGTCTTGCCAATTACATTATTAAGGTTTGTGAATGTCACTGTTAAGGTTAAGAGAAACGGGTGGCAGATATTAATTTTTGTGAACACTTATACGTAAAAGACTACTGGCATGGATGAGAGGCGTAAAACTGAGCAAGTCAATAAATACTCTCCCCAAAGAAGGGCAATATGTCTTGTTTTCTTTCTCACCAATGCTACTGGATTCTATAAACAATTGAAATTGAAATTGAAATTCATAGGTTGAGGACTGAACCAAAAAAAAATGAAGACAGACTTTATTCAAGATTTTTTTAAAAATACTAAAATACTCGAAATCTTAAATTAGGTTGTGAGCAAAATGTTAACTTACTTTTCTCTTTATGTGCTGACTGATGGCCTGAGAATTTCCAGCAGCTTCTAATTTAAAAATGTATTTCTTTTTTCTATCTTAAATGCATTAAGTTGACACTAGGGTGTAAACTAGTACAACTATTTTGTTGTCTTTTCAGTTACATGTGATGCTCAATTAGCCTGGTCCAATTGGTTAATTTACTGATATTTTATGATATATACTTTTGTACTGTAAAGTAAATCATTCTTAAAGATATCAGCCTCTTTGGGGTGAGACTAGAACTTAGATTTTGCTGCAAAAGTGTGGGAGCTGAGATATTAAATTGAGAATAGTTATTCACGACACGTTAAGCATGTTTAGTGACCACAAAATCAGGAGAATGGATGTGTTTGTTGATGCAAGTAGAGGAATAGACTACCAGCCCAATTGCAAATGTGGTGAATTGTTACCTCTTGGCACACTCATGCCTTGAGTATTATTATTGCATTGTTCCAGGCAAAGACAATTCCATTAACCAATAACTAAAAAGATGTAATTGTTCAATGTCATTTTGAAGTTGTCCAAGTAAAATGTTATTTTCAGAGTTTCATTAATTTAGTAAAATAAATTCCAGTTTGATTTTTAAAAGGAAGAGCCTATGTATATTGAGAAACACAAAGAGTTGATTCCAGACAATGGCAGACATCCATTGAAATCAAACAAAAGCATTCCAAGAAAATGTGATCACTTGGTTTAGGACAGAGGGCAATTAGAAAGTGAATCATATGCTACAAGATATGAGATAGGCAGTAAATCTTATTTCACAGGATATGAGTCAGGCCCTTTTTTTATAGCAGAAAAACATAAAACACCAGTCTCTGTGTCCTCAAAACAGGGCCACTGCAATGTTAAAGCACAAAAGCATTGTGGCAGGCATGTTCTGATTGTCTTGAACACAAGATCAGGTAGCCATCAGGCACTGAATCTAGAATGTTATCGTTTAGTAAATCTTTTATTATTCAAAGCTCAATTCTCAATGAAATTACACTACCTTTTATAACAAAATATTATTATTTTGGCATCTGCCTTGACTATATATCGTTAATCTCTACATTGAGTGTGACAGTTCATTATAATTGGTATAAATTGCATTAATATTTGGCATGACTATGGGGCCAGTATCAACATCACAGCAATTAGAGCTCAGATGAAAATGTTTAATTTTATTTTTGGGCTTTGAAGCTCATTTACTTCTGTACTACGCTATGTTACCACGCTAAGTCAGTTCTCAAAAGCTGTTGCACAGTTATTATAATCCTATGATGGTTATTGTTACTGATAAACCAGATGATTCCATTCAAAGTCTTTATCTTGTCATATAAAATATAGAAGGCACTGGAGAAACACGGCAATCTGTGGAGACACAAACAAGTCTGATTTTTCTTCTTTGAAATTGAAGTTGCTGCCAGACTTGTTGAATTTCTCCAGTACTTCCTGTTCTTTTTTTTTATTTTGGATCTCCAGCATCTGTAGTACTTAGCTTTTATCTTTGTCATTTTTGTTTCTCACATAGCAATACGAAAACTGGCGCCCAAACCAGCCCGACAGTTTCTTTTCTACTGGAGAGGACTGTGTTGTTATGATCTGGCATGAAGATGGCCAGTGGAATGATGTTCCATGTAACTACCACCTAACCTACACTTGTAAAAAAGGCACAGGTGAGATCTGGCATATGCTTGTCTCTACCCCTTCTTCTCATACCTGACCTTGAACATATCTTCAAAACCCTACCCATGGATGAAAACATAAAACAGCAATAAATAGTAAAGAGGTTTATGAAGACACTTCTTGGTTCATATAATGGAAGCATATACCAATAATCTGCATACCCCAAACCTGTGACTCTTTATTCACACATTTTAATGGGTGGAAAGTCATAGGCTAAGAGGGCACATAACATTCTGCTGTATGGATATGTCCCTAGAATGCAAAAGTGGAAAACACCTTGATATTTTGCTTATTATGTCAAAATATTTTTCACTCGCCCTCCACAGAAAAGGATCTTCAGAGGTATTCATTCAATACAAAACGGATCTTTGCAATATTATAGTGCTTCAATTAGTTATTTATTTTCTGCACGTTCCACCTCAGCAGAGTGTTGACAGGTTTTTCACCCTAGAGGGCATTATAACTAAGCTCGTGCTGACATCATTTGACATTTATAGACACTTTGCAGTTGTGATGACTAGATAATGGACAAGAGTACAGACTGATATGTGTTTTGGTTCTTTTATTGGTTTTGCTCTAATAATTTTGGCCTGTGTGTTTCAGAGTGCATTCATTGCAAAACATTAGGTCCTTAAATCTTAACGAGTGTTTACACATGCTCTGATTTTCATTTAAAATATCATAGTGTACCAGAGATACCATAGACTTTCTTTTTACAATTACTTTAGCTGCTGTTCAAAGCCTTTGTCCCCACAACCTTAAAATGAGCAAAATGGTACTTTGTTCTTCCTTGGTTTGAACTTCAGCCAAACAGTTGCATTAATAGAAGAAAGATTTTATCAATTACTAAAGATTTTTACATTAGATGCTAAGCCCTTGCTTTATAGAAAATGATAAGTGATTTGCAACTTTGTACCAAAGTTTTCTTTTAAACCCCTGTATATTGGTTTCTTAGCTGTTATCTCATGAGTGTGTAGAAGTTGTTTTGTGTTTCCTAATTTCCTTTTGTGATTCCGCTCAGCCTATGATATAAAGTGGTTGCCATTACTTTGTATGTTCAGGAGCAAATTTCCTTCCATGTATTTACATGGTTATGTATTTACATAAGTTATCATTATTGATACAGAAGATATTCCTTCTTTTAAATTTAGTTGCCTGCGGTCAACCTCCTGTTGTGAAGAATGCCAGGATGTTTGGGAAATTGAAACCTCGATATGAAATAAATTCGATGATCAGGTACCACTGCAGTGCAGGCTTTATCCAACGCCACTTTCCAGTCATTAAATGTCGAACCAATGGATACTGGGATAAACCAAAAGTCGCCTGCATAACACGTAAGTTTCATAGATATTTTATGAGATCGGAAGAGAGGAAAATAGAAAATAAAAGGTAGAAAACCTTTTTTTTTGATGTTTAAAATATTATTACTGCCAAAACTGGGGGAGTGCATGATTATTATAGTCCCACCAGTACATGACTCACAAGATAAGACAAAAATATTTTATTCAGGTTGCAAGATTACCAATTAAATGTCGTAACTATATTAGTTTTAAATAAGAAGATCAAACAAGTTATAAATGCATTATTGGTTTATTATCAAAATAAAATTCATTTAATAAAGTTGCACTAATTGGTTAAAATACACAGGCAGTTAGAGAGAAATAAAAATTTTACTCCTGTAAGTTTTCGCAAGTAACACATTCTGGGCAAATGAGAACTGTTACAGTGCAGAAGGAGGTCCTTCAGCCCATTGTGTCTGCACTGGCTTCTTTGATCATTTAAAAGTAAATGCTAATCTCCTGCCTTCAAAAATCGCTATTTAAATAAAAATCTAATGCTCTTTTGGGAATGCCTTATTGAACCTGCCTGTACCACACTTCCACACCCAAATTATCAACATGACAAAAAGATTTGTTGCACCTTGCGTTTGATGTTTAGCAAAACACTTTAAAACTTCACTCTGATTCTTCTTTCACTTGTGGGAACATTTTCTCCCTTTCTGCTCCGTCCAGATCTCTCATAGTTTTGCAAACATACATTAAATCTCCGCTTAGCATTCTCCTTTCCAAGGAAAGTGTTCAAATCACTCCAATTTTTCCTTATAACTGACATTTCTTGTCCCTGGAACCATTCTCATTAAACTTCTTCAGCACTCTATCCAATACATTACCATCCTTCTTATAGTATGATGTCCATGACAGTACACAGTATTCCAGCTGAGTTTTCACCAGGGTCTGAAATAAGTTCATCATAAACACCCTGCTCTTGTATTCTATACCCCTGTTAAATCCTTTAGTGTAGACCCAGTATTTTATACCCTCTATGTTTTTGTATTGTGTACAAAGAACATAGATGCAAAAGGATAAAGTATAGGATATTCTGTAGGGTATTACTGTGATGTTCTGGCATGTGTGATGAGGTCAATAATCAAGCACTGTTGTCTCTGAAGTTGCAGACTTGGTGCAGACACAGCTTGCTCAGAAAATACTACCTTAAGTATTCTTTCAATCTCTTCTTCAAAAGAAAAGATAGGTTTTAACCTGAACTGATGTTAGAGTTTTTCCTTTCAGAAATGAGAGAGATCAGCTGGGCAGCTTGTTCATAGGAAGTTTGCCTCCAATCACCTGATTCTCAGCAGGCTTTCCTCTAATTGAGTTAGATAAGTGAGAACCTCTTCAAGCCAATCACTGCTCAATAAAACAGCCACAGCATGATCTAAAGCAAGTAGTTATCACCACTCGTGCAATTTCTAGGAAGAACGTTAGATTTCCTTCCCTGAAGGACTTTGGTGAACCAGTTTTTCACAATAATCAAAAATAGATTCAGCATCATCATAACTGACCTAGCTTTATATTCTAGATTTGTAAATTGAATTTAAATTGTAGCATTTGTCAAAGTGCAATTTGAACCCTTGTTTCCAGAGCCTGTACATTGTTAGTCCAGTGACATTTACCTTTCCCATGGCTTTTGCATAACTTGTGGTTAAATAATCTTACTCCAATGTTCTTCGTATTTCAGAAACATCGAGCAAGCAGTTCCCAAACTAGCTGAGTACATAACTATCAGCCCATGTCTTCATCTGGCCTTTCCCACCATTAATTGACATTTAAGAGCCTTAATTGCTAGCAAGTTGAGAAAGTTGCCAAATGGACCTGCCTGCCCAATACTTAATTGTAGCAGTGACAAGAAAGTATAAGTTTCTCTTCATTGCAGAGTCACTCAATTTATTTCCTTATCATGCCACTTCCAGAGAAGGGAAACTGCACCCGTAGTTTTGATTATTTATGTATTTGCAACAGGATTGTAACTTGCTTAAGCAAATGTTGATCTTATTATTTTCACGTAATTTTCTTGTGTTGTTGTGGATTTCATCAAGTTACACCTGCTGCCTTCCCTAGACAGTTTATATGCTATTTCATGTACAAAATTCAGTATAAAATACAACATTACTGTCACTGCCAGGATCATACTATGCAGCTCCTTTATCATTTATTCTTGGAAAGTTAACTTCAGTAACATCATAGCTAGAAGTTAGTTTGGGCTTTTACATTTTACTGACTCTAATTCCTAAATAAGGTTCATCTTTCTTCCAGGCCATAATCTGAACAATTTTATTGTACATCTGTAAGTTTGAAGCTAAAGAACAGGTTGATCACATTCCTATTCATTCTCTCAGAATGCACTACATTATTACTTAGTCCTGTTGTTGGGAATGTAAACAAGACAGTTTGAATTCTCAGCATTGCAGCAAAACATAACTAATAGGTGTGGCCAAAATATTTTGTTGGGAGTGACCTATTAAGACTGACTATTTTAGACATTCATTTTACTTGTAAATAAATCCAGATTCAACAAAAAAATAACTACTTTTTAAATTTGTGTAATTTGATTTTCCTGCCAGTTGAATGATGCTTGAGGAGAGGTGGCTTAAAATGTCCTGTAGGAAAGCTGCAGTCCTATCTTCTTAGGAAGGCACCTGCTCATGGTGGGATGTGGTTCCATGGCGATCAACCATCAATGGCATCCTGCCATTATAAGGATGTGTAGCAGTTAAGTTTACTTCTGACTGAGTCCAATATCCATGGTCCCACATTTCCTAGTAGGAGTCACTCACTAAAGATTAGAATTGGAAATTTGACTGATTTATCTTCTCCCATGCTTAGAAAGACTGAACCAGGTGCAGCATCTTTACTTTATCATAGACTCATTGCCCAGCTAAGGACACATGCAGGATTTAGTCTGTGTGTCTCAGTACCACAGCAGATGGTGTGTTTCACTTTCTAAAGCATTGGCTGACTTTTGATGATTTTAACCCTCATAGATAAAGTGCATTCAGATATTTTCTTCATTTGATTATTTTTTGTGAAGTCTGTTAATTCTCTGTTTTCTTCCTTGCTCCTGATAGCTTCAACATATCAGCGAAACTCCCGAAGGTATATTCACGGATTATACCGGAAAGGAATGAAAAGTTCTCAAGAACCTATCCGGCATCATCATCGCTGGATCAGGAAATTCCATTCAGGGCACTGACTGCACCACTGAATGGTGGGAAACTGTTCCTTGCAATTCGAGCCACATCTGATCCAAACAGTGCCATTAGTAACACATTGGGATGGGGAATATTTCTTAAAAGACAAAGCACATCGGGAAAGATCAAACAGCAGTGTCTTCAAAAATGTGATAATTAAAATAATTGTAAATCATTCATTTCATGATGATTTGAATAGGTTAAATTGAATAGAAGCTGAGGCCCTGTTGTTTGTTCATAGTTCATTGTAATTTCATAATTTTAACATTCAGCATTTTACAGTTCAGCAATTCTCATGTTTTATAAATATTGGACAACATCTTTTATTTATGCGTGCATATACTGCACATCTGTTTGCAGGATTATTTTAACAATATAAAATATTTTAGAGCATTTTTGCACCTTTTCATGTCATTAGTTTTCTGTTTATTACATGTGGAAATAGTTACATTTTTCAGCAGTTTCTGCAAACCAATCATAAATTACCATTTCACTTTACTGGGCTAATTTTGACATATATTTTATAAATTCATTTCATTATTTATTACACTTATTTGAGACATAGGTTAAGTCACCACAGTCCCAGAGAACTGCACTGTCATTAGAGAGAGACAACTTGTAGTGGATTAACCTGAGGATCACCACACAAAGGGGCAAGGTTGCGAAGGGTCGGGGAGCGTACCTTCACGGTAACCTCAGTCAGTGTGGAAACTGAACCCATGCTGTTGGCCTTACTATACATTGCAAACTAGCCATCCAGCCAACTGAGTTAACTGACCCACAGCTTGATATATATGAGAAAATGATTAGCTGTGGTTTCAGTGACCCCTAGTGGCTATTTCAACTTACTTTCTTGCCACATTTTACGTTGCTTCAAGTAGTCATGTTAAGTGAAGTGAAGGCGTTAACATGCTGCTTTCTAGTAATCTAGTGGTTGCACAAGCGTCATTTTGATTGCTGCTCCAAATATACTAGGCTGATCACTATAATAAGCAGTTTTAGGTGAGCAGAAAGTAGAGGCAGTTATGGTGCATTAATGTGAGTGAAACCTGTTTTTGCAGAACCTGGATGATTAATTGTCTGATTCCAAAACATTGAACATCCTCTTCCTCAATCAATCTCTCACTTCTACAGCTACAAGATTCCTGTGTATTGTATTTCTAAGGATGCAAGGTGGGATCAAGCCCAGAGACTGCATTGTGAAGCTGCTCTTTAACTCACCTGGATACAAGCAATCAGAATAGCAAGTGCAAAAGGACGCTACATGACCTTTCCGAAAACCGTTTGGTTCTTTCTGAGGTCACAAGTGCTAATATATTAACTTTCTCAGATATGGCAGCTTTTGCAACCCTCACTAACCATACTACAATATGGAGCTGCCTTTTTCTAAGGGTGAATATAAACCTACCTTTTTTTTTTGTAAAAAAAAACAAAAAAATAAATTAATTTTTGTATATATAACCATCTTAGTGCATTTTTTAAATGAATGTTTATGTCTGAATGTGGCAGCTGTATAGCATATGTTGGTCATCACGTATGGCAATTTAGTTTAATTCTTGGGATTTTATTTACTTTGAAAGGATGGGATTGAGAAGAAATGAACTATATATTTTTGTAACATTTCTGCTGTTAACCTTTGGGAATCTCTATAAAGCACCACCAGCTTTTATAATTTGCACTGTGGGAAAAGATCTAAGTACATCATTTTGATTCAGATTTCAATGCAATATGTTTTATATTCTCGAGGTCTAATTTTCATTCGTATCTCTGGATATGGGTGCAAAGATGGCACAGAAACCACTTACAAATTATACTGAGAGGAACCAAATCCCATTGATTTAAATCATGGAGAGATTACGGCAGAAAGAAAGAATTGAATGACCTGTAAGTCCAATGGTTAACATGTGGTAAGAACAAAGACCTCTTCTGAAAATGAAATTTAATCTGGTCAGCAGTAAATTTTTAATTGCAGTAAATTAATTTCTGAATAGAAAATATGCTGGTTGCCTCACCCATTTCTGTTTACTCTTTTTATAAACAGCAACAAAAATCACTCTGTACATTTTTTTGCTTTATATTTCTTTACAATGCACACAGAACAATGCTGTATTTATATTTTAACTTGTATAGTGTATAATGTGAACGTTTGGGATTTTGTGAATGAAATACTGAAAACCTTTTTGTTACTTTTTTTTATTTGCTGTGGTTCACCAAAGAAACCAAAACAAATTTTGATCATGTTGTTTCTATTTCCATGCATTAGTCCTACTGATAGAACTGACTTGAAGAGCATTATTAAAAAAAATTGAAGCCTTTGGCTATATTGCAATGTTGGGTGCAGTGGCGATCAGTTATTTTTGTGTATATTAATGCCCTAATTTACATGATTGCCAATGCTCTTGGATTGTCCTGAAGTCTGCAGGAATTGAATATTAATCTGTAAGACATTTTTGTGAGCAACCTGGGAAAAAAAAATAATAGAGAGCTTAAAAATATGGATGTTGTCTTCACTTTCTTTGGACACTTCCACTGATTAGTTATAAAGTAAATTGAAGCTATGACTTGACAGTCTAGAATCATTCAATCAGATAATGAATAGCGGTGTCCTGTGAGGACGAATTTGTCAATGATGGCAGTAGGTCATTGGAAATGCAAATCATATCATTCAACTTTCAGGAAACAATCCAACCAGATTTGAAAATCCGAATCAACCTTTTGAAATTTATTTTTAAAAAATGCCATTTTAAATTTACATGATTTTATGATATACCAGTCTGCTTTATAGTAGGACAGGAGCTCTGAAATCCAACCAAATACAATTTTCCCTAACAACAGATTGACCTGAACATCATTAACCATTTCTCCTTGAGATTTTGCTGTATTAGACATCCTTACTCAATTCTCTTTTTATGAAGCAATGCTGATGTAGTACATTACTACTTTGTAATACTCTCTTACCAGATTTGGTATATTCTTCCTTTTTTTCCTTCTTTGGCTTAGTTTCACGGACTCAGATTATCAAAGCAATGTGACCAGAAAACTAAATAACCTTGAACATCATCCCTGAAGTATTCTAATTCATCTGCAAAATAAAACTTGCTTTAGTTTCCTGTTGAAGTTAAAAATTATCCACACAAAATTGTCTTTGGATTTGCCAAGCATTCATGAAATATCTGTGCTACAGCTCTTCCAGTGCTACAGGATTTTCCAGTAAATGGTGTGACCTACTATTCGATAAGCTCTGCGTACCCTGAGAATTGTGATTACTAATCAATTACAAGGTATCTCCAGTGGAGCCAATATTTATCAGACTTGTTTTCAGAATTGTCCTGAGCTATGACTATTATTGACTGACCATTTTCTTGCAGTTCAAAGAATAATATCTTCTCTTCAGGGTAAAATTAGATTCAAGATCTGTGATTGACTCAGTACCACAATGTCCTATTGAGGTCGTGCCTGCAATGCTCACTACCATTTAAATCAGAGAATGCTGCTTCTCAGATAAGTTGGACAGCAGTATATGCACTGTTCATGTACTTGATTTGAAATATCAATAAGTTTGAATTTCTTGTGGTGAGTGTAATGTTACAAGAATTCAAATTCTGCCTTGGATGGATCCCAGTGAGCTAATTTTTTGAATACTGTAGTCTAAATAAAAAGACAGAGCAAAATAAATAACATTCCAAAGGAAACTATTGACGAAAAGATGCCATAACATCTTTTGAAACATTTTCATATATGTAAGAACAGATACATAGAAATTTTGGAGGATACAGCACAGAGGAGACCATTCTGCCTCCAGGAGAGCTGTACAATTCATCCCAATTCTCTGCCCTTTCCCCCTACTCCTGTAAATTATTTTAATTCAGTAATTTATCAAATTCTGTTTGCGAGTTCCTAATTCATTTACTATAGGTATATAAATATCTTCTATTTTTGAACATGAATATCTCCTGTCAATGGATAGGTCCCTCACAAATTCACCAGAATAACCCACTGAAAGAGATCAATCAGGATGTGTTTGCCATGTTATGATGGGTAGCTTTAGCTTCTCAAGCAGATAATTTCGTCCCTGTTTCTAATGAAATATCCGGACGCCCAGTTGTGGAGAGATTAATTTCAAAGGTTGAATCAAAAGCAGCCTGAAATGTTCTCAAACCTACTTTTGACCGTATTTTGGATTGAAAGACAAGTGGATCTTCACGGGTCAGGTGAGATATCTATTAACCAAATTCCTCACCACACTTCCCGTGTGTGGATGGACGAGCACAATAATGATGACTCAGAATCTGAAAGAAGATCAAGAAAAATGTTGTGACTTGCAGATGACTGGAGCAATGTTAAAGTGGAGATGCAAGAAATTCTTGATTAATATGAATGACCACACAAGAATGTGATTATGTATGCTATTTTAAATATATATATTTTATATGAGTTTGAAAAGCCTAAATCTCAACAATTGAGACAGGGAACGAGTTGCATACAGAAGATCTATTGGAAGCAAGCTCAGTAATGTTCTACAACAACTGCAATGGGCCTGGTATTGAGCATAGGAGAGATAAAGCCCTCTCAGAAGTTCTTCCTCTCTAGTTCCTACTACTTAGTTAACTTGGTATAGTGGGTGACTTAATGAGGTAAGTGATTCTCTCTCCTGGGAGGCCAGGCCTGGGTCCTGATCTTGATTCACATAAGATTGTAAGAAAGTTTTGGTGACAGTAAATAAAGGAATGTGGGCCACTGAACCATAATACGGAACTGTGGAAAATCCAAACAATTTCTAGGATGCCTATGAGCTTAAAAATGGGCTTAATTAAAGCTCTCACACACATAGACAAGTAACAAATAGTTGGCTGAGGTACTGTTGAGCCAAAATACATGTACCTAAAAAACTTGGTAACTGATTAGCGGGTCAAATCTGGTTGCGAATTAGCCATAAAATATGTACAAAGACTTCTAAAGAAATATCCTGGCATTGATCCTGTGGCCTTTTAGTGTCTGCAGAAGCTACACAGTAATAAAAGTGAAAACAGATCAGAAAATCAAATTTGCATCTCTCTACAATGTGTTTCATAAGCCGAGAATGTGCCCTGGCATTTCCAAATCAAAGAATTACAGTCTAAGAGTCTTCACTATAAATTATGTGAGCAAATATTGCACGCAATTTGCTCAGCAAGGTTCCATAATCATTCATAACTAGATACCCATTGGATCTGTTTTGGTTGAAGGATGACTATTGACTAGGATCTTGGGAATTCAAACGCTCTTCTCCAAGTAGATAGGATTTTTCCATCAATCAAAACAGCTATACAGGTTCTGGAATCAACAACCAGAATATTGTGGTTTTCTTAGGAGCAGGTCAACAGGTTGGAGGTTAATGTGGGGTCATAAAATCAGTAGGCATCACGGGGGCGCTGTACCACTCTGGGCAGAGGGAATAGAGCCATTCCACCCTTGGGCTAATTACGGCTTTTGCACCCAATTAATGGTGAAATTTGCAGCCTTCTAGTGGGAAAGCAAATGCTAGATATTCTGCAAACCCTCTAAAATAGTGCTGAGGAGATCATGCTTAAGTAGAATTCACTTTGCCTATTTCCTACATTTCACAAAACAAGGCCAGAAAGCCACTAGCCAAAGCCTGCCTACTGGGAATGATAACATCCCTTCAGGCCTTCGTTTTCAGCGACACAAAAGCAAACATGCCCGCAACTATCACCACAAGACCATAAGATATAGGAGCAGAAGTAAGCCATTCAGCCCAGCGAGTATTCCGCTATTAAATGAGATCATGGCTGATCTGCTAATCCTCAACTCCACTTTCCTGTCTTTTCCATTAACCCTTGAGTCCCTTACTGATTGAAAATCCATCCCTCTCAGCCTCAAATATACTTATGAACCAGCCCCAACAGCTGATGGTGAAAAGCAGTTCCGGAGAATCACAACCCTCTGAGTGCAGCAATTCCTTCCTATCCTATTGTAAATGTGCAACCACTTATTGTGAGATTATGCCCACAGGGCCTAGACTTTCTCACAAGGGGAAAAATATTTTTTCATTTACCCCGTCAAGTCCTCCATGTTGCCCTGTATTGTTGAGGATCCCACTCTGATGTTGTGCTAAAATCTTTTCCCAGTTCTAATAACTGTTACAAGCAAGCAGAAAGTGCTGAAGAAACTCAGCATGTCTGGCAGCATCTGTAGAGAGAGAAGCTGAGTTAAAATTTAGAGTCCAAGGATCACTCAGTGCCTCTCTGTCTACAGATCTGCTGAGTTTCTCCATACTTTCTGTTTGTGTTTCAGATTTCCTGCATCTGTAGTTCTTTGCTAATATCTGCTGCGCATTTTCAGATAGTGTCCTGACGATTCTCTTCCATTTTGTTCATGATGAGACTCCTGAAATCATTACTCAAGTCCTCAAGAATATACTTTTCCATTTCATTGCAGCTGCCACAGGCTTCCAATGTCAC